TTACGCATCATTCAATACAGCAATACAGCATGCGTTAAATTATTACAAAAAAAAGAGATTATACGAGCCTTACGCATGTGAGGACAGGTCCTTTCTTTCAGTAGATTTTTGGCAACCAGGAATTGAACAAAAAGTTGGCATGGTTTCAAATGTCTCGTTTCAATATAGAAATTTCCGACCGAAATTTTGAATTTACTTCCTTCTGTTAATTGAAAGGGGGGTGTGAATAACTTTTTTCTTCACATGTTTGTGATGTTACTCTGAGTGCATATCCACACCGGGCGAGCTTGAAAAATATGCCCGGCCACGGTGGGATTCGAACCTACGACCTTTGGAATACTAGCCCATTTTTTCTTCAGTTTTTTCTTCATTTTTTTCTTCAGTTCATTTTTTTCTTCAGTTTTTTCTTCATTTTTTCAGCAGTTTTTTCTTCACGTTAGTATTTTAGGTCAGTGGTGTTCACCATAAATTTAGGTCGATTGTAACGTCAAAATGACGTAAATTTGGCCAAAATCCGCCATGTTTTTGGCCACACATTTTTGACTGACGAGGTATTGGAGCACGATCTCCACATATATTAAGTAGAGCTCAGTGGTATGGGTGCACTTTGACCTGTAGAATCCATTTCTGGCATTTCCAGAGTCACGCGATACAAACTTCGCATTGTTTTGACGGTTTTTCGTCGTATTTCCGGTTGGGATTAACGCAAATTCGGAGCAGAAATGCAACATCAAAATTCGGCAAGAAAACTCACATCTTAAAGATAGAAGCTTGAAAATAACAGTATACATGTTATTTTTAACTGCTTCATTCAGCAAGACTACCAGAATGAGCTTACGTCTCAAGGCGCCGAAGTTATGTTCGGCGAAAGGTATGTCTATGTTTATAATTTGTTAGTAATATTGTGTAATTTGATCAAATACCAAGCTCGCTTGACTTTCAAAGCTCATAAATCGCTACAATTTAGCCACTGACTAAAACTATCGTTATAAATTAGTGTATATTTTTATACTGAATCGAATGGTAGTATTTTCATCTACATAGCGTGCACTGAACCAAAGATATGAACGAATTACATCCGTAGAACGTGCACGTTCTACGCGTAATGGACCCTGCTGACATACTTTTTCCGGACATACAAAATTTTTCCGGAATCTTCAAAAAATTTTCGCACATAGCAAATTTTCAACATTTTTTAACATTTTTTCAAAATTTTTACATTTTGCCTCAAAATTTTCCTAAAATCCCCACCACGTTCTTGCCCTTTGCGCCAAAAATATTTAACCCAAGTAGCAGTTCTACCGACTGAATAGCAGTCCTACCGACTGAATAGCAGTCCTGCCGACTAAATACAATTACTGGGGGGGGTGTCACACCCCCCACACCCCCCCGTAGCTCCGGGCCTGGTTGGTGTTGTGTATTCAGGTGAATAATATGTTTGCGATGTTACTCTGAGTGCATATCCACACCGGGCGAGCTTGGGCTAGTATTCCAAAGGTCGTAGGTTCGAATCCCACCGTGGCCGGGCATATTTTTCAAGCTCGCCCGGTGTGGATATGCACTCAGAGTAACATC